GATCTGCCTGCCTTGGCCTCCCAAAGTGCTGGGTGAGCCACTGCACCCAGCCTAGTTCACTTCGAAATAGCTACTATATGGCACTCCACATTTTGTGGCTTCCCACAGCTTTACTAAGAGACTGTAGATTTCACTTTTCTCCTGTTGCAACATTGCATCAGTGAAATATCTTCCTTCTCTATGTCTTTGTTTATGGTGCTTGTTTCTTTGGGGTTAATAGCAAGGAGTGGAATTGCTGGGGTCCAGGGGATGCACCGCTTCGTATTTCCCTAGTGTTGCCAAGTTGTCTCTAATATGGTTATGCCCACGGAGGCACTCACCTGGGTTTGTAGGAGAAACTCTGGCATTGATGATTATTTTCCTCTCTGTGAGGCTGACCAAGCTAAGAAGAATTCTACAGAGTAGAGTGCGCTATACGTTTCTCAATTAACAAATGGAACAGAGAAGGTCATTGTTGTTACAATGTCACCAGAAATGGCCAGGCCTGCTGGTGGCTCATACCTGTAATCCAAGCACTTTGGGAGGCCAAGGTGGGAGGATCATTTGAAGCCAGGAGTTCAAGAGCAGCCTGGGTCACACAGCGAGATCCTATCTTTAGGATCACAAAAAAAAAAAACAAAAAAAGTATAAAAATTGGCCAGGCATGGTGGCACATGCCTTTACTCCTAGCTACCTGGGAGGCCCAAGCCCAGGACTTTGAGGCTGCAGTGAGCTATGATTGCATCACTGCACTCCAGCCTGGGTGACAGAGCGAGACGCTGTCTTTAAAAAAAAAAAAAGAAAATAAAAAAGGTGTCCAGGCCAGGCGCTGTGGTTCACGCCTGTAATCCCAGCACTTTGGGAGGCCGAGGTGGGTGGATCACCTGAGATCAGGGGTTCAAGGCCAGCCTGGTCAACATGGAGAAACCCCTTCTCTACTAAAACTACAAAAATTAGCTGGGTGTGGTGGCAGGCGCCTGTAATCCCAGCTACTCAGGGGGCTGAGGCAGGAGAATGGTGTGAACCCGAGAGGCAGAGCTAGCAGTGAGCCGAGATTGCGCCAGAGATTGCGCCACTGCACTCCAGCCTGGGCAACAGAGCGAGACTCTGTCTCAAACAAACAAACACAAAGAGAGATCACATTTTGTGACCTTGTTATCTCATGTCAACACTGACTAGAGTTTTCATTTTATTAGAATAAGTTGAATTAGGGGAATCGTTGGTTTTAGCTCTGGTCATGTAATGTACAGAGTAGCTCTGCCTTACAACTTGATCATAAAGTCGTTCTCTGCAAAACGAAACTAGTTGGGAAAGACAGAATCAATATGATGAAAGAAGTGGTCACACCAGGAGACACCCAAGTTCTAACTCCAAGGTGTGGCCTTAAAAGATTGTGAAGATATTAGCATAAAGATAGCACTATTTATAAAGATTATAAAGGCTTTACATGAGTAATACAAGATGCAAGGATTTGATGAATAAACATTAATACTCTACCCCGAGTGTTGCATTTTCATGAACTTTTTCCTCCCCCTCCGCCCCGAGAGGGAGTCTCACTATTGTCAGCCTGGGTGGGAGTGCAATGGCACGATCTCGGCTCACTGCAACCTCTGCTTCCTGGGTTCCAGCAATTCTCTTGACTCAGCCTCCCGAGTAGCTGAGATGAAAGGCGCCCACCACCATGCCCGGCTAATTTTTGTATTTTTAGTGGAGACAAGGGTTCACCATGTTGGCCAGGCTAGTCTTGAACTCCTGACCACAGGTGATCCACCTGCCTTGCCCTCCCAAAATGCTGGGATTACAGGCATGGGCCACCATGCCCACCCCTTTAAAAAAAAAAAAAAAGTCCAACTATAGGACCCAAGGACTCAGAAATGGGTTTTTAAGCCCCCTTCTTTTTTTTTTTTTTTTTTTAGACGGAGTCTCGCTCTGTCGCCCAGGCTGGAGTGCAGTGGCCAGATCTCAGCTCACTGCAAGCTCCGCCTCCTGGGTTTACGCCATTCTCCTTTCTCAGCCTCCTGAGTAGCTGGGACTACAGGCGCCCGCCACCTTGCCCGGCTAGTTTTTTGTATTTTTTAGTAGAGGCGGGGTTTCACCGTGTTAGCCAGGATGGTCTCGATCTCCTGACCTCGTGATCCGCCCGTCTCGGCCTCCCAAAGTGCTGGGATTACAGGCTTGAGCCACTGCGCCCGGCCGCCCCCTTCTTTTTAATATGGAATTTTAAATTACTTTTTATCTTGGAAGAGCTTATGACTCACAAGAAGTTGCAAAAATGGTACAGAGAATTTGCAAATACCCTTTACCCAGCTTCCTCCAGTGACATGTTACATAACGATAGTACATTATTAAAACCAGGAAATTGGCATTGGTACACTATCATTAACTCAACTGCAGACTTTATTTATTTATTATTTTTGAGACAGAGTCTCACTCTATCACCCAGGCTGGAGTGCAGTGGTGCGATCATGGTGTACTGCAGCCTCAAACTCTTGAGTTCAAGCAATCCTCCTGCCTCAACCTCTTGAGTAGCTGGAATTACAGGTGCATGCCACCATGCCCAGCTAATTAAAAAAAATTTTTTTGTAGAGATGGGGTCTCACTGTGTTGCCCAGGCTGGCCTCCCCTCCCTTCCCCTTCCCTCCCGTCTCAACAGGGTCTTGCTCTGGAGTGTAGTGGCGTGCTTATGACCCACTGCAGCCTCCACAACACCAGCTCAGGTGATCTTCCTACCTCAGCTTCCTGAGTAGCTGGGACTACAGGAGCATGCCACCACACCCAGCTAATTTTTAAAATTTTTTGGAGAGATGGGGGTCTCACTAGGTTGCCCATGTTGGTCTCGAACACCCAGGCTCAAGTGATCCACCTGGCTCAGCCTCCCAGAGTGTTGGGATTACAAGTGTGAGCCACCGTGCCCAGCCCGGAAACAAAATATTAATACATGCTACAATGGGGATGAAGCTCGAGGACATTATGCTCAATAAGCCACACAAAACAACAAAGTCTGTATGATTTCACTTATGTGAGATGCCTAAAGTCATCAATTTCATAGAGACAGAAAGTAGAATGGTGGGTGCCAGGGGCTAGGTGATGGGGGATCAGGAGTGAGTGTTTAATAGGTTTCAGTTTGGGAAGATGAAAGAGTTTTGGAGATGGTCGATGGTGATGATGGCAAAACAATGTGAGTATAATGCCATTGAACCACACACTTGGTCAGGCGCAGTGGCTCATGCCTGTAATCCCAGCACTTTGGGAGGCCGAGGTGGGCAGATCACAAGGTCAAGAGATCGAGACTATCGTGGCCAACATGGTGAAACCCCATCTTCACTAAAAATACAAAAATTAGCTGGGTGTGGTGGCGCATGCCTGTAAACCCAGCTACTTGGGAGGCTGAGGTAGGAGAATCACTTGAACCCGGGAGGAGGAGGTTGCAGTGAGCCAAGATCACGCCACTGTGCTCCAAACTGGGCGAAAGAGCGAGACTCTGTCTCAAAAAAAAAAAAGAAAAAAAGAACTACACACTTAAAAATGTTTAAAATGGGCCAACATGGTGTCTCATGTCTATAATCCCAACTCTTTGGGAAGCCAAACCAGGTGGGTGGCTTGAGCCCAGAAGTTTGAGACCAGCCTGGGCAGCATGGCGACACCCCATGTCTACTTTAAACATACAAAAAATTGGCCTGGCATGGTGGCGCGAGTGCCTGTAGTCCCAAATACTTTCGAGGCTGAGGTGGGAGGAGTGTCTGAGCCCAGGAAGTCAAGGCTGCAGTGAGTCATGATTGCACCACTGCACTCTAGCCTGGGCGATGGGAGTGAAACCCTGTCTCAAAAGAAAAAAAAAAAGAAAAGAAAAGTAAAATGGTAAATTTAATGTATATTTTACAATAAAAAAAAGTTGTTTTTTTTTTTTAAACAGCAGGGATAAGAATACCAGCATAAGTCTGGGTACGGTGACTCATGCCTGTAATCCCAGCACTTTGGGAGGCAGAGGTGGGAGGTTCACTTGAGTCTAAGAGTTAGAGACCACCTTGGCCAACATGGTGAAACCCCTTCACTACTGAAAATACAAAAATTAGCCAGGCATCCTGGTGGGCGCCTGTGATCCCAGCTACTTGGGAGTCTGAGGCAGGAGAATCGCTTGAACCTGGGAGGCGGAAGTTGCAGTGAGCTGAGATTGCACCACTGCACTCCAGCCTGGTTGACAGAGTGAGACTCTGTCTCAAACAAACAAAAAAATAACACCAGCATAAGCTCGTAGGGATCTTGGGATCAGCTGAGGTCAGAATAGCAATTTCTTTTCTTTTGTTTCGTGTGTGTGTGTGTGTGTGTGTGTGTTTGTTTGTTTGTTTTAGATGGACTCTTGCTCTGTTGCCCAGGCTGGAGTGCAGTGCAGTGGCGCAATCTCGGCTCACTGCAACCTCCACCTCCTGGGTTCAAGCGATTCTCCTGTCTCAGCCTCCTGAGTAGCTGGGATTACAGGCATGCACTACCGTTCCCGGCTAATTTTTGTATTTTTAGGGATGGGGTTTCACCATGTTAGCCAGGCTGTTCTTGAACTCCTGACCTCAAGTGATTTGCCCACCTTGGACTCCCAAAGTGCAGGGATTACAGGTGTGAGCCAGCACGCCCGGCCCAGAGTAGCAATTTCGAAGTACTCCCAGGTGCAAGCTGGCCCATCTCTCTAAGCCTCAGCCTCCTCATGACAATTAGGAGACTCCTGTAATAATAAAGCCATCCCTTGGCTGGGGCACTGATGAGGATTTAATAAGTCCTAAATGTGAGCTAGTGTCATCATCATTGCTACCTCTCTGGGCGTGGAGGAAAGGACTCCCACTCGGCTCTCTATTTTCTCTGTGCAACCTCAGGCATGCGTGCAGCCTCTCTGAACCTTGGTTCCTCCTCTGAAACTTACGAACTGCTCAGGGTTGGGTGGGCGGTCTGGATTAGGATAGGCTGACTGGAGCATATGGGAGTGAAGCCTGTCCTTGGCATGCTGGTGATGATGGGGGACACTCCTGTGCCTCCCAGGAGCGGTCGAGCTGTCGCGGCGCCACCCCGTCGCATCCTGGCTGTGTGCCATGCTGCATTGCTTCGGAAGCTACATCCTGGCTGACCTGCTCCTTGGGGAGCCACTGATCGATTACTTCAGCAACAACTCCAGCATCCTGCTGGCCTCAGCTGTCTGGTAAGCCATGCTGGGCATGGAAGAGCAGAGCCAGGTGGGGGAAGGAACAACCTGGGCACCAGGGAGGAGAGAGGTTGGAGGAATTAGAACGCACCAGCAACAGCCCTCATGATGGCCCTGAACATGCTGCCCTCCATGCTCAGCTCTGGTCTAGGCTCAGCACGCTGGGGAGGGGGGTCTGACACAACCACAGCTCCCTACCCCAATCCTTCACAGTCTGCCCATCCCCTGGCACTCAGCGTTCTCTCCTCAAAAGGTACTTGATTTTCTTCTGCCCCCTGGACCTCTTCTACAAGTGTGTCTGCTTCCTGCCTGTGAAACTCATCTTCGTGGCCATGAAGGAGGTGGTGCGAGTCCGCAAGATCGCGGTGGGCATCCATCATGCCCATCACCACTACCACCACGGGTGGTTCGTCATGATTGCAACTGGGTGGGTCAAAGGTAAATAGGATGATGACAATGAAAAATCATCCCAGTGGAGAACTTTTGGTCCAGCGGTACTACGAGGCACCCCAGTTGGGAAAACCATTGCTCCAGGCAAAGGGGTGTAAAGACTGGAGTAGGTGTTCAAACCTCCCTAAAGGTATCAGCCGATACCTTTAGGGTAAGTGGGAAGATTCTTCCAGAGATGTTATTGTCAGGGGTACCTAAGACAGTGATGATGACGATGAAAGCTAGCGTCGCCAGAGCAGGGTTTCTCACTTGCAGCCCTACTGACATGTGGGGCTGGATCATTCTTTGTGGTGGGGGCTGCCCTGTGCATTGTAGGATGTTGAACAGCACCCCTGGCTTCTACCCACGAGATGCCAGTAGCACACTTGTCCCCAGCTGTGACAAAAGAAATTGTTTCCAGACATTGCTAAACACCTCCTACAGAGCAAAAATTGCTGCAGGTGAGAACCCCTTCTTCTCCAGAGCTCTAGCTATAGGAGCTCTTAACTTTTGGGTACCATGGCCCTTTTGCCAGTGAAACCTACAGACCATTTCGTATGAAGAAAATAGAGCTAGACATGGTGGCTCATGCCTGTAATTCTAGCTATTCAGGAGGCTGAGGTGGAAGGATCACTTGAGCCTAGGAGTTCAAGGTTACAATGAGCTATGATTTTGCCACTGCACTCCAACTGGGCAACAGAGCAAGAGTCTGTCTCTAAAAAATTAAAATTAAAAAATAAAGTAATAATGAAAATGTTATTAGAAATAAAGAACGTTTTACAATGATAAAAGGGTCAATCCACCAGGAAGGTGTAACAACTATAAACATATATGCACCTAGAAACAGAGCACCAAAATGCATAAAGCAAAAATGGACAGAAGTTCGGGGAGAAAGAGATAATTCAACATTATAAGTTGGAGAAGTGGGCCAAGGAGTAACAGGGAAAGCAGGGAAAGAAGGCCTGAGCAAGTGCCAAAAACCACTGGGTACTTTATCCTCGCTTCCTGCCCACCAGATATGGGTACCCACAGTGCCAAGGCCTAGAATCACCCTCCACTGAGCCATGGTGTCCTCAGTTATTCCTTGCTATGGGGGTCAACCTGTGCATTATACAATGGTGAGCCA